CTCCTTGCCCCTTCCAGCTCCTGCCTAGAAGCTGCATCGCGTTGGTCTCTGCCTCCATGGCCACACTGCCTTCTCCCCATCTGTGGTCTTAGCTCCTCTGTCACCCTCTCATATGGGCACAGTGATGGTATTTAGAGCCAGCTAGGTCATTCTGGATGATCTCCCTATTTCAAGATCCTGAATTTAATCATCTCTGCAAAGTCTCACTGACGCTTTAACCTCCGAGCCACCAGGGAAGCCCTCTTTTGCCATAAAAGACAACAATCACGGTTTCCAGGAATTAAGACCTGGATGTCTTTAGGGATCATTACTGACCTTACCATAGGGGCTATCCTAAACCATACCGATCCCTGGAGATGTATCACCCAACCAGTCTTTCCCCTCAGAGAGAGACACCACAGATGGAAATCTGACAGCACCTACTCTGAGAGCCTTTCAATTACTAGGAGCAGAAAAAAAAAAAAATCCGGGCTAAGATATAGGTAACACTGTCATCTCTGAGTCATTATCTGTGAATTTTTAATCTCTGAAAAATGAATGGTTAAATTATTTCACAAGATATTTTTTAAAAATATGAAATGATTCAATGAAGAATGTGTGACAGATATGGGTGCCTCTGTTCAGGGTTTTTTTTTCCTTTCCAGGATTTCTATCTCGATAAGAGCTCCTAAGCATATGATTCCCAAGGAGGTAATGGCTGACATAGTCTAAATGTGCCTGAAAAGAGACATTTTAAGCTGTTTAATCATATTTCAGTTGAAAGACTAAATGTTTGCCCCAGTACTTAAAAGACACTCAAACAAAAGAAATGTACACAATACCAAGCTGAAATAAGGACTTATCTGGTGGCTCAGACAGTAAAGAATAAACCAGCAATGTGGGAAACCTAGGTTCGATCCCTGGGTTGGGAAGATCCTCTGGAGAAGGGAATTGCAACCCACTCTAGTAATCTTCCTTGGAGAATTCCATGGACAGAGGCTACAGTCCATGGGGTTGTAAAGAGATGGGCACAACTGAGTGATTAACACTAAGCTGAAATAAATACATTTCATTTCCTATTAAAAAGTATTATTACTGGTAACAGCTGATAGTCAAAGTCCAAAATGATCCCTAATAATTGAACGTTGCTAACAATTAACTAATCATATTCAAATGCCAGCATTTTGGAAGTATATTCTCTAAACATAATCAAATAAATAAATATCCTGCAGTTGTACTATCATAGTACACCTTCTGTTATACTCAAGATCCTGTTTTTCATAAGGTTACGGTCTCCTTTGACCCTTCCTTTTCACATCACCTCCTCATCTTTCTCTAATTGATTTAGCTTACTTGTTATATTCTGACTCTCTATACTTTGTTAGAGATACTTTGCTCAGGCTGTATCTTTTTTTTTAAATACAAATGTTAAAGGTTACACTCCATTTACAATTACAAAATAATGGCCATATTCCTTGTGCTGTGTAATACATCCTTGTAGCCTAATTTATACCTAATAGTTTGTACTCCCCACTTCCCCCATCCCTATGTTGCCCCTCCCCTGCCCACCACCATATCTAAGGCGCACCATCTATACTGGCTTGTATTTCCATAGCTGATGGAACTCAACTGGATAAGACTTAATCCCCACCAGGACCAGATCTCAGCAGCATGTACAGCAAGGGAAGCTTCTTTCAGGGGATCAGTGATCAAATCTTTCCAGTGGTTTCTCCTCATCCCTAGGGTGAGTTCAAACTTCCTCAAAGACATAGGAGGTTCATGCCTAGATCCTAAACAATCTTCCACCACTCCTTTCCCTGGCAGGCTAGACCTCAGCCTGGGACATCTCAAAGCACGTCTGAATAACTTGTAATTCCACACACACTTCATAGGAAATGTCCCTCATCAACTGCCAAAGTCTTGTTCAATATTCAAAATCAGTTTGGAATCAGCAGCTCCACCCAGTTTCCCCGAAACAATCCCTAAATTCTGGCAAATCCCTCTTTCCTCTGTGTTCCTGACATGTGCTGCTCCTGGGCGTAATCACGAACCTCCATTCTCACTATTAAAATATGAGTTTCCATATGATATGGTAGTCATTTCTGAACCCCTAATTCCAAGCCCAGCACTAGCTCAGATTACTAAGGGCTGAATGCAGAATTTTGCCTCTACTTTCTCTCTGCTTTTAAACCTGTGTTTTTAGGGAACATTTGTTCTGCTTCATTTATGTGCTCAGTCACTCGGTAATGTCTGATTCTTCGTGGCCCCATGAACTGTAGTCCACCAGGCTCCTCTGTCCATAGGATTTTCCAGGCAAGAGTACTGGAGTGGGTTTCCATTTCCTGCATTTTCTTCCTGACCCAGGGATCGAACCAGCATCTCTTATATCTCCTGCATTGGCACACGGGTTCTTTACTACTAGCACCACCTGGAAAGCCCAATTCATTTATTTTTAGATCTAAATGCAAGTTCATACTCAAGGCTAACTGCTCTGTAGTCTCTATTTCTAAATGTAAAATAAGGATGATTCTCTCTATTAAATAAGTTGCAGAAATTAGTAAGCATTCATGATGTTTCTGTATATAGGAAGCCCTCCTGACATCCTAAAAACACACCTTAATGGTGTCCTGCATAAAATCTGCACCCTGCATTAAGAAATATATTCCTGATTCCCAATCTGCAGAGTTTCAGGGATGGAATGGATGTATTCTCACTACCTGATGATCGAATCCCCTCTATAACATCCCATGTGACAGTGAAGACTTCATTTGATTACATCAAGTGTTGTGGAAAAAACTGCCTGCCACGCAAGAGACTTGGGTTTGATCCCTGGGTTAGGAAAATCCTCTGGAGAGGGAAATGGCAACCCACTCCAGTGTTCTTGCCTGGGAAATTCCATGGAGAGAGGAGCCTGGTGGGCTACAGTCCAAGGGGTTGCACAAGAGTCAGACACAACTAAGCAACTGAGCAGGCATGCAGCAACCTCACAAAGAAGCCCAGTTCAGTGTTCACAAGTGTCCTTTTAAAAAAAACATATACTTCGACACTTTTGAGCCCTCTGGTCAATAGTAAATGAAAATGCAAAGTAACAAAAGAATGAAAACCACCCCTGTGAATTTTAAATTAAAAAAGTAAGGAGTACAAATCACATTAAGGCACCTTTTTGCTTTTTAATTTGAGACGCAAGAAAGTTAGCTTGTCTAAAAATCACCATATCTAAGATAATGAAGATTACAACAGGAAACTGAGCGTAAATTGCTATGGCAGGAAACTGATTAGTTCAGCAAAGAGACAGGATGCTTCTTGTCTCTGCTGCTGTCTAAATTAACTCTGTGCCTCCTCCGTGGCCAACTGCTCTGAGATAAAGGATTGTAAAGTTGCCTCATGAAAGTGGACTGAAGTACAATGAATAATAAATGTAAAAGTAATACAAAGCACTGCCTGAAGTTGCAAGGAGAGGAAATCAGTCAGCAAGGGTGACAGGGGAAGAGTCGGTCTAGTAACATTACGTAAAACACTACTGAGATCCACAAAACATAAAGTTCAATATAATGTGCTGATAAGAAGAGGATATCAAAATAGGCAGTAGGCATGCTTTGAAGGAGCACTTCTTCAGAAGAACCTTTTCTATGAAGCCTGAACAATCCAAGTTATTTTGCTTGAAATGTGCTGATGTTTGTTACTCAGAGTTCCACCTTGTGACAGGCAGAATAACGGCCCCATAAAGATGTCCACCTGCCAAAGCAAGAGATGCAAGAGATGCAGGTTTCATCCCTGGGACAGGATGATCCATTGGTGAAAGAAATGGCAACCCACTCCAGTATGTTTGCCTGGAGAACCCCATAAACAGAGGTGCCTGGAAGGCTACAGTCCATAGGGTCCAAAGAGTCAGACACAACTGAGCAACTGAGCACACACACACATACAAGAATATCCACACTCTAATTCCCTGGAACTGTGAATAAGCTGTTTTCCAGGACCAAAGAGACCTTGCAGATGTGATTAGCATGAAGAATCTTGAGATGGGAGATGATGCATGCATGCATGCATGTGTGCATCAAGGTGGGTCCAACCTAATCACATGGTTCCTTGATATTGGAGGTCCTTTCCCAGCTGGGTTTGGAGTCAGAAAGACATGTGACTACAGAAGAATGGTGACAGAGATGCAGCATGCCTGGCTCTGAAGCTGGAGGAAGGGGCTTACTAGACAAGAATGGAAGGAGCCCCTGCAAGCTGCAAAACACAAGGGAGCAGATCCTCCTCTAGAGCATTAAGACAGGAATGTATCACTGTCGATACTTTTCAGCTTAGTTTAGCCCAGCAAGACCCATGTTGGATCTGTGATTACATAACTGTTAGGTAATAAATTTGTGTTGCTTTAAGCCAGCAAATGTGTGGCAATTTGCTACAGTAGCACTAGAAAGCTTGTGTATATCCATGTTCTTTCAGAGGTTTCACTCAAGCATGAAAAATGACACAACCTCAAACCAACTGTCATAACTTCAAAGTGACTGTTTCACAGATACCCTAACATTTTCATGTGACTTATTTCTAAAATGTTTTTCCAAGAGGGGAACAGAAAAAGTCCTGAAATAGTGTATCTTTCAAAGAGATAATGAAACATTCAATAAGTAATGAAAATAAAACAAAACAAACCCAAAAACCTGACAGATGATCAACCCCTCTCAATGAATCCAGTAGAAAATACCATTCAATTTACTTGAAATTCTTTTGTACTTGAGTGGGAAACCCTTTATCCCTATCATCATTCCTACCTTCTTCTTCTCTTCTTCCCCTAAACCTGATTTTGAAGTGCTTCCTAGATGAAGTTTTACAGCAAACATTTATTAGCAGGCATGAATAGAATTTCTTACAGTGATTAAAATATATGACTATTAAAATTCAATTTGCTAATTGAAATTTTGCCATTGTTGAGCAATATGGCACTGATTCATATTTCAGCCGTACTTTACACCTTGATGCTTACAAAAGAAGGAAGACTGCAAATCCTTCTTACTTACCACTTTGCAGCAAAGGGGCCAAAACCACCACATCAGTCCAACAGCCAAGAGCAGCAGCAACACCAAGATAGCGATGAGGGCTGCAATCCCACTAGACTGGAGGAGGCCGAAAACAAAAGCAAGGCGGTCAGCAAAGTGGACAGTCAAATCCCAAACATGCACTTTTTAAGGAAACACCAGAAAAAAACGATAGGAAGCATCATAATGTTAAACCCGACTGCTAATATATTCCTTTACATTCTTTAGATTGTATAAATTATCTTACTACTTACATACTAATTACATTATATTCCATTTTATTATATTTACATAATATACTAAATATGATATATTTGTATTAAATTTCCTCACATTATACCTCATATATATTATGTTAAGACAGGCAAGGATAAGTATAAAACCCTCCCAAAATGTTTAAAATTATAGCTTAAAGAAAAACAGGAAAAAAAAAATCACAATTTGGAGTTGTGCGAATGGTCCTGTGCTGTGTCTGCTAAGTCACTTCAGTTGTGTTTTAACTCTTTTCGACCCAATGGACTGTGGCCCACCAGGCTCCTCTGTCCATGGGGTTCTCCAGGCAAGACTACTGGAGTGGGTTGCCATTTCCCACTCCAGGGATCGAACCCATGTCACTCTCCTCTCTTGCCTTGGCAGGCAGGTTCTCTGCCACTAGCGCCACCTGGAAAGCCTCATGAACAGTCCCTATGGCCCCTATCTTTTGTCTTTGGGAAAAGATTATTCTGGTTACAAGCATGATTACCTCTAGGCAGAATTTATGCAGAATTTCCCCAGACTTTTTGATGATGGAGCATTATTTCTTCATATACTTGAATGGTAGGACAGGATGAATACCAAAGCTCACCAAATAGGTGACAAACCAGCAACAACGGTTCTTGTTGGCAAGTGGTACACACGTATCAACGAAAGGATGCAACTGTATGCATTCGGATATCAGAAGATCACCCATGGTAGTTCAAGTGCTACCCACTCACAACCTACTCACAGCCACAAACCACACTGGTGTTGTTACGCTTCCTAATGACGAGCTCCTCCAGCCCTAACACCTCTGTCCTGGGCTCAGGCTCTACCTGCTTCATCTATCAACTACCTATTCATCCTACAGGGCGTAGCTAAAGCCACTTCCTCAGGAAGCCTTCCTCGTACTTTCTGGCTAGAAAATACCCCTTCTTACTGTACAAGGCATAGTTCTCTGAACCTTAAACTTTAGCACTTAGCACAATTTATTTATTTGATTTGCTTATTTATTTATAGTGAACTACAATTATTATTTGTCTTTTCTATATTCACTATGAGTTCTAGGAAGGCAGGGCCTATTCCCAATCTACTTATCCAGGTATACTCCAGGCCTGGTATGTAAAACTATTTACTAAGAGAATGAACTCCAAATAAATGAGACGGCAAGAGCCACAAACACAAAGTGAAAGTCGCTCAGTCGTGTCCGACTCTTTGCAACCCTCTGGAATTCCATGGAATATAGTCCTTGTAATTCTCCAGGCCAGAATACTGGAGTGGGTAGCCTTTCCCTTCTCCAGGGGATCTTTCCAACCCAGGAATTGAACCCAAGGCTCCCGCATTGCAGGCAGATTCTTTACCAGCTGAGCCACAAGGGAAGCCCAAGAATACTAGAGTGGGTAGCCTATCCTTTCTCCAGGATCACACCAGGAATCAAACCAGGGTCTCCTGTATTGCTGGTGAATTCTTTACCAACTGAGCTAAGACACAAAGAGTATTTACTTAATTTTTAGCAGAGATCAATTTTCCAAGAGAACAAAGTGTCTCTTTCAAATGCTCACTCTCTGAGATTCCCCAGTAATCATGTTTTGTTTGTGTTTTTATTTTTTTTTAAAGACTTCAAGGAATGAAAAAAAAAAAAACTGTAAATAAATCAATACATTCTGTCTGGGTGGGAATTTGGGTCTTCATAAGGTAGGTTTTCAGAGATACACACTCTGCCATTCAAAACAAATAAGAAGTACAAGCCTGGAAATCAAGGCAAGAGTCACATTTATCCCAAGAGCTGATAAAGAGAGAGCCTGGAGCTGAAAGAACCTACCAATACATATCTTAGAATGGCCTTGCCTTACAAGTGTTAGTCTGGAGGTCTAATTTTAAGCAAACTGTTTAATTTTTAGGGGACTCTGTTTTTTAATCTATACAATAATAAAGTCAGTTGTTCCCAAAACATGAAATTCTTGTGGCAAAGTGATAACCAGGATATCTCTCTTAGAAAAGCACTGTACACATTAACATATTTTTAAGGCTCTGAATGGTTTTGTAGTAGGAAAAAAAAAAAGTCCAACTTACATCAGCACAAATCAATTTTTTTCTCATAACATTATCAATATCCTACAGAACAAGGATCCCCCAGTATCCATTTGGGGAAATGTTAGGATTGATCAAAAAGTGAAAAGACATTTGGATGTTGAAGTAACAATGATGCTGGTATTTAATTAGAACTTTTATGATGGAATTTGAATTGTAATGCATAATAACTTATGCACAAAGAGATAATGATCTTTATGTAGACATGCTTAACTGATCAGTCCCTCAGTGGTGCCTGATTCTTTGCAACCCCATGGACTGTAGCCTTCCAGGCTCCTCTGTCCATGGAAGTTTCCAGGCAAAAGAATACTGGAATGGGTTGCCATTTCCTACTCCCTGGGATATTCCCGACCTAGGGATTAAACTTGTGTCTCCTGCATTGTTAGATGGGTTCTTTACCACTGAGCCACCAGAGAAACCTCTTTATGTAGATAGTTATTTGTAAATAACTGAAGAAGAGAAGAGAAGGTAGTTTTCAAAAGTATTAGTTTAAGGAGCATTAGCAAAATATTCTTTGTATAGCTTATCAGAAAAAGCTTGAAATGTGAGTCATAGTTTCCCTGTATCATCTGTTAGTATATCACAGTGTTAAAAAAAAAAAGAAAAAGAGATTACCATACAGTGACTTGGAAACTATCTCCAAACAAATCAGTTTTCAAAGACACTGATTATTAACTGGGTTTCAATTTTAATAAATCCACTAAAAATAACTTTTAAAATAATTCTCAGGGCAACATAAACCATAAAACATGCACTGACTTCAGAAATTTTAGAAGATTAACAATCAAGTATATACATGAACAATGAAAGCCATCCTTTGCTTTCTAATTTTGCATCTGGATATAAGAGGGAATAATCAAACAAGCTATTTATATAACTGATGTTAGGTTGCAAATTAACCAAAACAGACACCACCAAAATATCACCTAGAATCTTTGACTTGTCATGTAATCTATTTTTAGAAGACAACAAAAATAAGTACAGAAACTTCACACACACATACAATCTTCATAAACCTCTATTATTTACTATTAGCCCACTCTTAAGGCACTTGAAGATGCTACTACATGGTATTTACCATAAAACATTAATTTTAATTTTAAGAAATGAAAAGACATGCAGTCATCTAGCAACTTCTTGATGTACAATTTGATAGAATTAAAGTGCAAACTCAATGCACCAGGCCCGAGCACTTGTCTCATGCATCTAACCTGGACTGGTGATCTGTTTCACTCTAGATAATACACATGTTTCGAGGGATCGGGTAGAGAGGGAGGTGAGACAGGGGTTCAGGATGGGGAATACATGTAAATCCATGTATTTTATGTCAATGTATGACAAAACCACTACAATATTGTAGAGTAATTAGCCTCCAACTAATAAAAATAAATGGAAAAAAAAATAAAGTGCAAACTCAACATATATTTATTGATGTAGCCTAAAGATCTAAGTCAGTGTCTTGCAGATAGAAATTTGTGTGTGTATGTGTGTATGTATCAGTGAGAGAGAGAAGACAAATACATTATAGAAAATGTTCAGGTAATTATCTAAGTTCTCTGTCCTCAAAACCTAAGGAAGTAATTCAGAGCACACATCAGGATACTTATGAAAGCACTTAAAGTGCATTTTTTTACATGGAATTCCAAACATTCATGAAAAAAATCATGCAATGATTACACTAAGCTCTGAAATCTAGACAAACAAGAATATAACAGGAAAAGAATGTCAACAGAATACATAGAAAACTATGATATCTTATGGGAGAAATGTTGTCAAATGTGTTAAATTCATGATCCCACCTTTAAGCTCTTCCATAAAATACCCCCAATCTGTGACTGTTCATGTATTGAGTGAACACAACTTTTCCCCCAGACCTTTCCGACATGAGGATCAAGCCACAGCATGTCCATGGAAATGGCTCACCATTTGGCTCTGCTCACAAATTCCAAAAGGGTACTACGAACATTTGTTTTCCCCTTTTCTTAGAATTCAAATCCTATGTTCAGAAATAAAGACATGAAACTAGAGGGTGTGAATATGCTACAAGTTTAGTGGTTAGTGTTTTTTTTTTTTCTTTCTACAAATGTGTCATGAGCAGGAAATTCAGAAAATCATACTGACAGAATATAAAGTAGATGGGCTAGCCATGACAGGCTGTCAAAATTCTTGCATTTTCTTTCAAAAATGTCCCTGTGAGGAACACTCGCAAAACACTGTGCACATCCAGATGTAAATATCATTTCATATAATAATATTATCATCTCAACTGATTCTGAAGATTAGTATACAAGAAAACTATGAAAACATACACTTTCCACAGACCTACAGACTTCATCTTTATCATATTTAAGTTAAGCATGATGGAGAACAGGTCGCAGTAAGCAAAGAATTGAATGCAACTGGAACTTGCCATAAACACTTCCCTGGATGCCCCAGTCCCAGACATTAGCTCAGTTAACTGGATACAAATCCAGGCTTCCACAGTTCCTTTGTTTTGATTTGCCAGAGCTGTTATCAGAACATGAAAGACCTCAGCAATTAAAGGGAAATAATTTCATTGTTCAGATAACTTTATAAACAAATTAAGAAAAAAGGTCAAACACATACACTTCAGTTCTATGAGCACACGCTGTCCTGCAAAGTGCAGACTTCAAAGTCAGATGAAACCAGATCTGATTACACAGAGATCTGTATCATAGGGAGAAACTAAAAGCCTCTCAATTCTGTTTAGGTGTAAGGCTCTTTAAACAGCA